GGTGGCAGTATATGGAAGTCCAACTGCTTGAGTCATCTTCAAGCAATGTTAAAGCTCAACAAGAACCAAATAACTTCTGATATGGTACTTAGCCTGCCTCCCTCTATCCCCTCTGGCGTCATAAATAATCTCTATTGACTCTGCAGAGTAATTCATCACCAATCTCCCCAGGACACCTCGACTGATTTAACACCAGCTTCACTTGCAGACATCAAGTGGTTTATTGTTTCGTCCTCTTGGAGAACGCCAGCAGCCTGACTCGGAACATGCCTGGGAGACATGTTGCAGTTTTACATCAACTTCCCTTACAGACATCCAGTGCTTGCTCATTTTTTCTCCTTAAATATACCCATTGATTTAACTCACAGTAACCTCCCCCCTCCATTTCTCCCTCCCATGAATCAAAGCAAAATGCTTGTCACTCATTAACCATCTCCCCCTCCAAGGAAAAAGTGAGTTACTTCATGGGCTTGCTCCTTGGATCTTTCTTAGCTTTTAAGAAGGAAGCATACTTTCCCACTAACAGAGAAATGGAGTTTTGTTGCAGTTATGATAAGCTCCCATACCACAGGGATCACAGACCCACTGTTCCCTTTACCTGGAGAAGAGGACTGATTATCATGTATCAAGTTATACCTCCTACTGCACTATGGTGATCCCAACAGATGCCAATAGTAGTAGCTGTGACAGTGACAGGCACTGATTGATACTTAGCTACATCCTAAGTCAGTTTGTACAGCTCACCCAAATCTTAGATTTATTGACTGCAGAATTCTCCATCTCCACAAGTCATTTCACACAGGCTACTAGTTAATCCATTCCCAAACTTTGTGACTGAGACACAAAGCTGAGCTCTCCTAAGGTTGTACAGCTCCCAAGCTGCAGGCTTTTCCATATCTACGTTTTGAGAATACTGATTTCACTATCCCATAAAGGCCTCCTCGCAGAAGCAGCATTCAGGAGCCAGGCTGGTCTAACTGCACTTTCAGCCACAAGACAGAAAGATGCAGCCACTCTTTCCACATCCTCTTATGTCAGTTGCCCACTTATCTCATTAGTGAAGACAACAGTGCTTTCACTTTTGTGCGACAACAGCTGGGACATTTTACCAAGTACATCTTACACCATTATATCAACAAGTTGGGAAAAGAAAATCTACCAGTGCCTTTTCAGAACATCTCTGTGAAAGTATTCTGGCAAGTACAGAAAAAAACAGGCTTTTATTTTCTTGTTCTCCTTCAGCAAAAGCTCATGAGTAACCAAGCAACTTTGCATTCGAATACTCTCAATTACCTTCCAGGAAGGATCTGGAGATGACTCTCTCTCTGAGCCAAGAGGAGCAAAGCAGGACCAAATATGGGAATCCCCAAATTACCATGAGATATTGATGAGGTAGTGGTTCATCTTTTATCACAACCCTACCTTTGGGTTCCTAGTTGTGATCTCAGACAGGATGGCACTGATTAATGTGTTCAGTTTGCCTTGGAGTATCATACCAGCATAGCAGGTAAAGCTATTTATTGTGGACCTTTATTTAAACCCAAAAAATCTCTCCAGGAACCCAGCAGGCACTGGTTATTGCCTAGTGTTTTTCAATACAGCACACTGAGGAACAGGAATGCTGAGTCCAATCAGCTGTTTCTGTATCAAGATATGATCTGTACCTCAGAATATCACAGTGCTTCAAATTTACCTTAGAACAAGGGTGAACACTGAATTGTCATGTGGCAGAAAGGCACACAGGGACTGGGGCAGTGTAAAGCCTGTACATGAAGACTGACAATGGCTGAATAGCTCGTCCCCTTAATGTCTCAACTGAAAGAGTTAAAAGCACTGAGGAGGTACGGTGATGTGAGAAAAGTACTTTATCTCTTTCGTATTCTCATTGGAAATTCTGCCCAAGCTTTTTTTCTTCTCCTTTACTGATGTTTGAATTGACAAAGCCACAAACATCTGGTGAACCTGCCTGCTAGTACCTGTCTACTGTCACATTCACATTTAAAACTATTATTGTGTAGTCAGATTCTGCCGTCTGCTACTACTGGTTTTATGACATTTTGCTAGCACTCCTACTGTTTCCAGCCTCTTGAGAAGGTTACTACTGACTCACTAAGCCACAAGAATAATAAACACATCACATTATTCAGAAGGACACTGACATAATTATTTTGCTGGAATTCCTGCAAAATAATGTGCCCAAAGAAGTTCCATAAGTATACATTCAGCCTTCTTCCAAGCAAGATGTCTCAAAGAACTGAATCTCTCCAGAGCATTTCAGAGAGCAAGACAGTAAACAATGCATATCTTGGGCATGTTGTGCAACAACATTTAAAGAAATGTCACTACAAAAACAGAGAAGCAAAAATATTACCCATTACTTAAGTAATGGAGGCAGGGAGAAGCCACAGTGGTGAGAGAGGTCAAAGAAATTTCCAGCTGCCAGGTGAAAGCAGGGAAACATGGGGATCTGGGATGACTCTTCCAGACTACACAAGTCTGATAACAAAACTCCAGCCTGGTGGAAACTGAAGACATCAGGAAATTCACGAGAGATAGCAGATTTCCAGTGGGACAAAAGTAATGGTATGTTAAAAACACCATTAAGAAAGCTAAATTTGAAGCTGGTGGGTGCCTGAACTCAGCACAAACAGATGGTCCCATGTCCTGGTTGAACTATGGCCTACTGGAAGTACTGTGAGATCTCTCTTATGCTTTTTTGAACATTTGAAGATGGCCTGTGGAACAGAGCTTCATTTTAGATCCATCAGACTATTAAACAAGGACAATTTAATCCTTTCTCTGCAGGAAAACTGAAAGATTATGATAGACTAGTAGAAAGAGATATCTTTTTATGGAAATAGAGATGAGATCGGTGGGGAAGGTTTATGAATTTGTTAGATGTCAGCAAAAATCAACTAGCAATTCAATTTTCATCTCTTTTCAGCCTACCATGTGGCAGTCTCTGCAAAAGAAAGCAAGAGACATCTATTTCTCACTCTTGCTAGGTTTTGGCTTGTTGGACCATATGAAATATGAGCTCTGCCTGACCCCTTCTAACACAGTGTTAGTAAAACAAAAACATTTGAGTAGGGGAGGGAAAGAAAACCCAACCCATGCAGCTATTTTACTTTAAAGGACACGACAGTTTAGTGTAAACAAAGGGGGAATAAACTACAGGGATATATGCACAGTAAGAGTCAATTGGAAACAGCTGTTGGCAGATACTGTGGCAACCTGAAATCTGGGGCTGCAGCTCTGGGTTGCACAAACTCCTTTTGTTTGTTGCCAGTTTGAAATCCCCTCTCACTGCATGTGTGTGCACACTCCCACACACGTGTTTGAGGTGTGCTGCAGGAGCAGCAAGTGCATGGCAGCAAGCAGGGATGGTTTGGCTGGGAGTGTCTCTCCTTCAGGGTGTAACCTCAAGGGGGAAGATGTGGGGTAATGAAAAAACCTGCAAAGGGGTTATAAAGCCCTTTCAACTATTGTCTGCAGCCATTCCTCCCAATTCCTGTCTTTAATATTAGAACCATATAAAGACAAACTGCAAAAAAAAAAAAGAGGCAAGAATGTAAAGGTGCTATTTTAGCTCCCAAAGACTTTTGCTTTTCTGGTTGCATTTAAACAGGAAGTCTGGGGAGGAATACCAGTCCTGGGCCAATCTGTACAATATTTCTGATATTCAGCGTGTAACACTATCTGTTACAAACATTAAATTATCTAAGCCAGTGGGATAGCCCTGGCAGTTGGTGTTTCCAATACCACAGCAGCAAAGTTAAGAGAGCACAGTGCAAACTTGCAGACTCCAAACCTCTATCCTCCATGTTAGACCTGCTAGCAATAAGAACAGGATATTTCCAAGTGAAGAAGCTGACAGTCACAAAGCACAGCTTTTCACCTCTAGTTTGGAGTCCAGACCAGCAGTTCAAGGTGCACTAACTTCATGGCATACCTGGAGTGAACACATGCCATGCATCTTGAAGTGCAAGGTTCATGCTTCAATGACCTTGCTGCTGCAGGCAGCAAAAAGAAAGACAAAACACTGGAACTGTCCCTTCTCTCTTTCTGTATAGAGAAGATTCTTCTCAGGTACGATTGCTCAAACTTGCATAGTAGAGGAGGTGAATGTTGAAAAACATGCATTGCTGCTGTCCACATTGCTTTTGTTTTGGAGACAGAAGATAAATATCTAGTGCCATACCAAGTCATGGACCACCTTCCTAGATCTGCCTTAGCCCAGCCAACTGAACACATGATGTTACCACTTCTAGGAAATGTTCCACCTGCTTACAGAGTTAATCTGAACCCCAGGCATAAGTAGGGGTTCAGTAGGTCCATCAAACAGCATGAAAATCCTGTTGTCCTTATGCTTCCTATTCCTCTGCCCCAGGCTCAGCCAGCTTCCCACACCAGTAAAGACGTGCTGGCAACTGCTGCAGAGAGAGAAATGTAAGCCTTTCCTCACCGAAGGTTTGGATGGTAACATGCAGGCCAGTGCCATGTAAGTAGCACAATGAGAGCCTCCATGGGCTTCACTAAGCAAGGAAAAAAACTCACTCCAGTCCTGATGGTCTGGCTGCAACCTTGCTCTAACTGTTAACTTGCTTGAGCAGACAAGCATCACATCCCTATGAACCTGTATTTTCTACTGCCTAGTGAAACAGTTTTACTGTTCAGTACTGCCACAGCTTTGCTGGGTTTTGTCTCCAGCCTTGCTGTCCCTCCTCTGGTAGGAAAGGCAACCTTCTCAGTTTGATCAGTGTCTGCACAAATCTGGTAGTGACAGACCTCAAACCTAGCACTCCTGTTGGTAGAAAGACATGAAATAATATAGAGGGCCCTGATGTCACTGCATGTGAATGCATTAGTCATTGCAGGAATATACAAAGGCAACTCTTGGCTTCAAAAACCTAATTTACAAATAGAAGACTTGATTATTCACAGAATATTCTGATTTGGAAGGGACCCACAAGGATCATTGAGCCAAACTCTTTAGTAAATGGCCATACAGGGATTTAAACCCCAACCTTGATGTTATTAGCACCATGCTCTAACCAGCTGAGCTCATCTCAGTCTTGAATATGAATGCCTGTGTTTACCACTGTTCTTACCACAAGTCAAAAATGAACATCACACTCAGCTCTGCTGTATTCCAGGGAGATGGTCAGAGCAATATTTAGAAAGAAACACACAGAACAGAGACAAATGACAAACACATTACTTAGAGTAAAGTGCAAGCACTGCCAAAGAGCTGCTTTCATCTACCAATGAGCAGTGATCACTTTCTGGGGATGAGTCTTCAGACAGAAGCTGATGCCCATCTGTTTGACACACAAAATGTGTGGATATTTTTATTAAGTGAGATAACACGTATGAGAAATATGCTTTTATGACGCCTTAAGAGAGGTTTATCTGAGGCTCTGCAGGTATTAAACAGCAGGTCTAGTTGGGAAAAGAAACACATCCATTTGTTTAATTTCATCCTCTCTTGCCTCTGCATTGCTCATGGCCCACCTGTGAGCTAAGGCTTAGCACACTTACTTGGAAAGGAGAATGACACAATTCTGGGCCCTCCGGCCATCAATCACAGAGAGCTCTTTCACCTTTCGTGTGGAGAGGTAAAGGTCTTCTGTTGAGCCCATCTCTTTCTGCATGTATTTCAAAAGGGAGGGAAAACAATCAGTATTATGTTTCTCACTCAAGACTGATAGACTTAGCTCAGGGTAATGAACAAACCCATCCCAACCTAGAAAAATCCGCCCACACGATAAGAAAAGGAGACAAAGGCAGAAGGCATGGGGGTAGATCTTGTGTTACTAGACAAACAGAAATAATTAATTAACAACTATAAGCTCATCTTTGAGCTCAAATACTTGACCTGATTCTGACCTATTGGACTCACACTACCAGCAATTACATTATGTTAATGTGAAAAACAGGCATGATAGGAGAATCAGGCACATTATGATGAAGCCCACTGGTGTCACAGCATATCCTTCAGCAGATGCCTCCTCCAGGCCATTGGACCTGACCAATCCATATTATATGAGAGATGCAAACAGTAAGGAGCTATAGCATTTATCTTACTAAACATACCTTACTAAATGGTAAAAATCTACATTTAAACTATCTTCTCTTTTAAAAACTAATTAATATATTTAATCATACAGAAATCATCCTTTTCTTAAGTTGTCTGTATACCCCCATTGCCATATTCATCACCTGAAAAAACCTGAAAATCCAGTCCAGAACATTTCTCATAGCATACAGAGATAAAATATTTGCAAACTCAGCCTGACCATCCACTTTTTATATATAACAGCAAGCATGCTGAGTCAGATCAAAAGGTCCATCTATCCCAGCATCCTGTCCCTGGGAGTGGTCAACAGCAGATACTCAGAGAAACATGCCAGATCATGGCAAACACACAGAATGGGTGCTTCCCAGAATTCACTCTCAGGACTCAAGGTTCTGCAACTCAAGGCTTACTTACATCAGCATGCCTAACCTCTAAAGAGATTTTGAAACCCAAGCATTTGATATTTCAGTGTAAATCATAGGTTCATACTGCTAGTTGTCATTTCAGTTATTGCTACAGTCAGCTACCACAAATCTTGTTGCTCCTGTATATACAAAGGACTCATGCAGCCACATCCAGAAGTGCTGCAGTGAGCCACCACCAATAGAAAGTGTCATTTTTAAGCAGGTGCAATGCACTATCTGAAGACATGCACTCAGTAAATTCTTCTAGATGTGCCCAAAGCATCTAGCTTGGCAGAAGGAAAATTTCAATGTTACTTAACAGTAACATTAGTTACAACAATTACAATAGTGTTTCCAAAAAAGGCAAAATTGGTATTGGGTAAGTTTATTATTCCTGAGAGAGTAACTAACAATACCAACAAGAGGAGTGCCTCCAGTATAACCTGGCATGTAGAGATTTCCTAAGTTTTCCTAAGTTTTCTCAGTTTGTGGGAAGGGAGACAGGGACATGGGCAGCTGTTGAGAGGAATAAAGCCACTTGATGGTCTCTGCTCTTGGTTTAAAAATTTCAGTGTTCCTCACTAGCTAATATTTGCAGACAAGGACACCTGGATAGTGACAATCAGCACCCATCCCAAAGGAAAAAAAGTCTCAGCCTTTGGCTATGTATGTGAGGTGCGGGTTTAGCCAGCTTTCCTTAAAGCCATCCACCAGGAATTGATATAAAAGTCTCCATGCCATTTCCATTTCCTCAGCCCACAGAGTTCAACACAGATGAATAACGTGAACTATTCAGACATGGTCCACTCCTTGGTCATAAGGGCTAGACTCATCTAAAAATATATCCTCTTACACTCATATTAAAGAGAGAGAGGTATTTATAGCTACTTGGAGTCATGTGTAAGCAAAAGCAGATGAAACCTCAGGTTTTAGCAAAGCCAGATTCCAAGCTTAGCTGAAGGAAAACAGATTGCATAGGGACTATCCATATTTTCTCAGACACAGAAAAAGAGGAGCAAGGGGGCAGTGGTGACTAGATTTTGTGAGAGAGTCCAAGCCCTAAATGCAAGAAGAGCTGGAGCTAGTATCAACCTGACAGATAAGATGACTAAGTTTTGTGCCAGCATCCTTTACTGACTTCTCATCTGGGATAGCATGTTATGTGCTTCAAAGAGTATTTCAGATTTGATATTTTAGTTGCAAATTCAAAATTCAGCTAAAATTTCAGTGCTGAAATGACTATACATGGGGAATGTGTTCATCACATTGGTGCCTTGCTTCAAAAAAATTTGATTTTGGTCAGCTGAAGACTTGTAGCATGGCAGCACCCTAGCTTCTGGCAATTATCAATACTTCAGAGAACTACATCTACCATATTGACTTGTTTTGATATGCTGCCATGTTAGCCTCCCCCATGTGGCAAAAGCTGCGACCAGACTTTCCAAATAGAGTTCCCTGAGCACTCATGGTGAGAACTACTTTCTTCTGAAACCACCAGAGACACTTATGATCATATCTGAACAATCCTTTCCTCATAGTGTTGATCTTACCAAAACTGTTGCCAAGAATTTTCCTTGAGAGGTTAGCCAGTTTAAAGACATATGCATAATCCAATCTCTATCTAAACACCATTTTAATCTTTTGCTGAACTTTCTGAAAGTTTCAGCTCTACATTTGAACTCTTCTGCTCCTCAGATGGCACAAATCATTCTGCCAAAATGTTCATCTCTATGCAAAGAAATAGTTCCTTTATCAGAAAGTCTGTGGCTAGTAAGTGCATCTGAAGACTTCAGTACTGTCCAAAGCAGACAGAGCACAGATGGGAACAGTGGAAGAGAAGGGTCCCTGAGTGCCCCTTTTGTTCTCCTCGAGATAGAGTATTGCTTTGGTTAAGGAAGAGTTCACACTGACATTCTTCTTTGTCCCCGATCTTTTTTTCCTCAGGATCATAAAAAAGGGACTACAGAACCAGCAATGAGATACAAGCAAGTGAAATCCTCCTACCACAGAGATAACACAGCTAAAAGAATTATTTGTACCACCTTCCCCATCAAGAAAGCAGAGTGCAAGGGCATATGAAAGAGTAGCATGAGCTGTGACCCCACAGTGGCATGGTCCAGGACTTCACCTTCACACACGGCAAGAGGATGAGGCAGCAGACAATGATACTCACCTGCTTACAGGAGGAGGGGTTAGTTAGCAGGTCCTATGCAGGCAGCAGTCGCAAATAACGAAGAAGGAAACATGCCAAAAATTAGCACAGAGAAAGATACCAAGTTTAACAAGGCAGCTGAATTCAGACACACACTGTTTTCTAAGAGCATGTAATGCTTAGCAAGTAATACTGGCCCAGATGGTTCAAAGGTATTTCAGCATTTCTTCGCATATTTTAAATCAGCAGATGTCACAGAACTAAGAGTCCTAGGTCTTTTATGAAAATAATAAATTTGGTCTCCAAAGCATAAATCTTTTAGGTCTTTAAATATTAACTAGGATAATGCTTAAATACCTTTACAAATGCAGTCCAGAGCCTTACTGAAAGAGCTGCCAAGGTTATAACTTGAGGGTCAGTTCTCCTCTCCTGATGCACAGGCACAGCTTGTGGGTATTAACAAGTATAACAAGCAACAACTTGTTTCAAGGGCACGTTATACCCTTTAACAACTTGTAGCCAAGTATTTTGAAAGCACTCAGTAACTGCCAAAGCGGCCTTACAGCACTTCTGGAAGACAGACTCCAACTATTCCATTACACACTCAGTACTCCAGAACACCAGCTATACTGAATCAAAAGGTCAATATTACACAGTAAGATTAGAGCAAGGTCAAAAGACAAGTGTAGGAATACTTGGTCCAGTATTCTGTACACTGGACAATGTTGCTTTCCCTCAAAGCCACCAAAAAGGATACACTGGGCTTGAGAGGAGGAGAGACCCTCTGTCATTAACAAAATTAGGAAAATTGAAAATTGTTTAATGTAAATGAAACTGGAAAAAATATGAAGATCATGTTAATAACAGCAAAGAAAGAAATGTCTTTATCTCTACTCATTCAACATTTCAGATGCAAAAGAGCAGGGCTTTGCATTGACATTTTTCTTCACAGACATTTGGATGAAGTTTAAAAGTCACAAACCGAGAGTAAACACATACTTGGTCAGAGTGGAATATTTCCGAAAGTAAAAGAAAAAAAAGACTAAGTATGAACTGAAAAAAAATCTCAAAAATTTTTAATTCAAAGCAATTTTGGTTGCCCAGTCTTTAAAAAAAAAAAAAGAAAATTGATGAGGACTTCTTGATTGGAATACAGTTCACACTGGAGCAAGTATGGATGAAAAAGAAAGTATCATGTAAAGTAATAACAACAAAATATTTAAGGAAAAAAAAACCCAAACAAAATAATGTAAATAACTCAACAAAAGCTGTAAGGGGAGCAAGATGCCTAACTGCACAAAAATACAAGTAGCTTACATAAGTGTTACTCTAGTGTCTGGAGCCACTGTCATAAAGTGTGTTTAATGAGGACGGAAGAGTGCTGCTCAGAGACCCACGGAGGCAGGGGTAAGGGTCAGGTTAGTTTATGGCTGAATAGCT